CCGCCATAACCTTTTTCTAGTACTCGCCTCCATAATATTTGGCCTGTTACATCATAAATATAATAAATAATATATTTATTTTGTGACCTAATAAATTATATTCTTATTTTGTAACAATACTTGCAATGGAATAATGTTTAATTTATAATATTAATTTACACGAAAATGTGCTTAATCATTATAATGATCTTTAAATGGGCAAATATAAAGACAATTAAAGAGACTGGAAATATGAAAAGCACCACGTGCAAGTAACATGCAAAAGGTAAGGAAAAAAAAGAAAGACATTATAAATACTTTTATTTACCAGATTTCAGATTAAGCGCAGCAATAACGTTCTCCTCGGTAGCGACGATAATCTTCTTCGCCGTAGACACCGTATCGAAACTGGCAAATTTAATTTTTCCGACGTAGTTCTGCCTCCTGAAAAATCCCGCGTAAACGATTAATTCGCCCACATAGCACCCTGAGGGTGACACACAGAAAATCGAGTATATCGGTCCTCATGATAATATTATTGTAGCGTTCTCTCTCTCTCTCTCTCTCTCTCTCTCTCTTTCTTACTCTCACTCTCACTTTCTCCTTTTCTCTGCATTATTTAGAGGTTGCTTCGATCACTTACCAATCGAATTTGCCGACTTGATCCTCGTAGAGGCACAGGGAGAGATTAAAAAGGCCGATCAGTACGATCAAGCATTGCAGGATCGGTACGTCGAGGAACCGGAAAGACCACGCGCACGGAGCCATGGCGATGACGAGCGCTCCGGCAAGCGCGCGAGAGGGTATCCGCGACACAGTCGCTCTACGCCCTACGCTTCTACGCCACTTCGCTTATGCACGTATGTATGTACCACCCACCGACCGATGTGCTAAAGCGCTTATAGCACGGACGACGACAGACAACGACGTCGCACATAAACGCACCTCGCACCGGTCACCCCTCGCTGTGGATATGTCCTGCCTTGTCTCCGACCCAACGTCTGCCGACGTCTCATATGCTTAACCCCCTCCACGCGTGTATAGTACAGCACATCAATTCGCTGGGTCGTCGTAACAACTTTATTTGTCAACTCAATGTAATTTAAATGGGGTCGATAAGTCAGACTACTACTATGATCTAACGAATTAATCTACTGCACTGTACATACACACGCAACGGACGAAGATGGATAGAATCAGGTGGGCCATACTATCTTCATCTAACACGTGGCAGATCCAGGACTGGCTAGCAACGCTGAGGTGCCCTATGCTATTACGATACAGGGTGTGAATAGAATGATCTCTAATAGTAAACTCGGTCACTCATACTCTAGATTACATTTAAAAAATTGCTTTATAGAAAGTATCTAAATATAATGATAATATAATCAACTTTGGCAATGAAACAGTTACATGTATATTCCGTTAAATGATAATATATGACAATATTATTATTAAATATTTGTTTACATTAAATTAAATAAAATAGATAATTTATGATGCGGCGAATTCGTTAATTAAATAACAGGAACGTTTATTATTTTTTATTATAAATAATCATTCGCCATCATTGATTGATCCCGATCACAAAAACTTGAAGTTCACGATTGTAAAGAAATAAGAATTGCTGAGTTTTTAATTTAAAATTATTACGATCAATTTGGGTGTATCTTTTCGCCTAATAACTGATAAAAATAATTCTTAACAAAATATTTCCGTCGAATATTAATAAACATTTGATTTAAATGAGTTGGGAAAAGAAATCATAAGAATCTTTTATCGCAAGAAAATTATTGAAAAAAAATTCAACAGATAGAACTAAAGTTGTGTGTGTGTTTGATCCCTTTTATAATAATAATGGAAGAGATAGATGAAAAATACATATATTGATAATTTAAATACAATTAAAACTAAATGAAACCGATCGTTTTTCTAGACGTATTATTAAAATGTTCTATAATTTGTACATAAAAGTAAACTTTATAAAATAGAAATATTAATAAAACATGGTAATTTCAAACTAAAATATGAAAAAATATTTGAAGAATTACTTAAAGAATAATATATATATA